TAATTAATAATTTTTTGGTTCTAATCACATTTCAATGAAACTTGGTACATAGATATTACATTACGCAGATCTTATTACTTTTACATTGCGCAGAGCTTATTAGTTTTACACTTAAATGTGTTCATATTAGTTACCTTATTTGCATAATTAGTTTTCTGCATTTCCATCAATATCTCAAGTTCAAGTAATTTTGAATTAATTTTTAATGTGTCTCCAATACTCTCAGCACACGGGAGTTCTTTCTAAGCTTTCTTTGATTCACAAAATGAACTTAAAATAAAGCATAATTTCTTTCCATATTTTTAGTTCCCGTTCGGACGAAGTCCGAAAACGGGAACTATTAATTTGGGTTCGTTCCGTACGTACGTATGTCCGAAGCTATATCTCGGACACCCATTGACGGATTTCATTCAAACTTTACATGAAGACAATACATAATGTCTTACATATGCGCATCAAGTTACTTTATGATCGGAGAAAAAATGGCCGACTGGCGGTCATTTTGGATGTGAAATTTGCTATTTCTGATACCTAAACGTGTCCACAGCAGTTTCTCGGAGATGACTGGGCTGATTTGCATCAAAGTTGATATAATGATCATACATATTGGGTTGTAGGTGCACGTCATTTTTTTTTATGATTCGAACAAATATGGCCGACTAGCGGCCATTTTGTTTTTCATGGTACCCATGCTACTTTCTCTTGAATGCAATGTACGTTTCTCTTTAAATTTTTTACAAAGCTAGTATACCAAGGGATACATTTGTACCAACATTATTTTTGTGATTCGATTCAATATTGCTGACCGACGCCCAAATTTCCTGTAAAAGCGTTAAATCGGCATTTTTTACATGTCCGGAGCTGTTTCTCAGAGATGACTAGGCCAATTTAGAGTTATCAGTTTAGGGTTATAGGTGCACGTCATATTTTTTTCGTGATTGGAACAAATATGGCCGACTGGTGGCCATTTTGTTTTTCATGATACCCATGCCTACTTTCCCATGAATGCAATGAAGATTTCTGTTTAAATTTTGTACAAAGACAGTATACCACTAGATACATCAACATTATTTTTGTAATTTGATTCAATATGACTGCCCAATGTCCAATTCTCGTGTAAAAGCACTAAATCATAATTTTTTACAAATCCATTTCCTATTAATGGTTCAATCTAATCTCAATGACTTCATCAGCATCAAATTGATATGTCAGATCACTAAATTTTGGACGGGGACTGTGTCCTTAACAATGACTTGTTTTCAAAACAATTTCATCAAGACCTAGCATCAATACTGTAGGTACATGTGTGCCAAAATCAACAATTTGCAAAATGTTGATTCAAATTTGGCAGGTAAATGTATGAGTTCAACAGGTTAATACAAGTATATACCAAACCATTTCAATAAAACATTTGTACTGGTTCTCATAATGTACAGACAAGAGACACTGCTGATGACCAGGATGCACCCGCCTCACAGCAGATTCAACTCTTGCAACAACAAAATGAGAGTTTAAAACAAGTGATCCGAACAATGAGGGAGGAAATGGAATCTTTTGAAGAGAAGAGAAAATCTGACACTGCAGATCAGAAGAAAATGAACAATCAAGACTGTGGAGATCGTGATGGACCAATCACAGAAGGTGAGATTATAGCTGCAGTTATTCACATCTGAGGTGGATGGATGCAATGATGTTCACAACGATTACTTTGCTTGCTTAGTGTTTAATACTTGATACAAATCCCTCATTAATATTTCTTGATGGGTGACAGAGCAAAACAGAAGTGACATTGTGAACCCAGGTTTGTCTTTTGACAGAAATGTATGCCAGACATTCTGATTATCACAAAGAGCCATTCACAGAGCAACCCAATAAAATACAAAGTGTTAAATATCTGCATATTGAAATCCGGTCTCATTTATTTTTATATACCCAAGGCTATGGTTTAAGACTTTTGTGGTTATCGTAGCTGACTCACTTATTAGGAATTACTCACTGCACAGAAATGGTATCGCTGTTTAATGCTAATGATTGCTAGGCACTTTTTAACCCTTAGATTCAAATGTTTTCACTTAAATTTGGATAAATTTGTTCACATTTTCTGTAATTTTCACTAACTTCAATCTCAATTTTGGACCAAACAGACAAAAAGTGACATTGCGTCAAAACATTTGAAATTTTTGCAACATTTCATGTAGAAAAGAGTAGATTATAAATGAAACTATTGAAGGTGCCTGAAGTTGTCTTTGATGGTAAAAAAGGTTCATGAATTTGATGCAAGAAAAAATTTATCACATATGACTATTATACTGTGTCATTAATATTGTAGACTATGTACGTGCATTGGAGACAGAAGTGAGAGAACTAAAAGCAAGAAGCCGAGAGTTAAAGGACACTGATGAGAGGAAATCAGATAAGACATCAAAACCGGTAATGGATAAACCACTTGGAAGCATTCCAGTTAATGCGGATAATGCTTATGTCAGAAGTCATATACAGTCACTCAATGATACGATAGGTAAATACCAATGATTGAGATTAATTCGAAACTAAACAAAAATAATTTGTGCCATTTTAGAATGAGAAATCAGTAAGATATATTTTATTAACTCCGCTGTCGACTTTGTCAAGCGGAGCTTATCATACAAGTGATTGTCCATCGATGGCGTCGTTCGTGTCAATGTTTTACTTTTTCGACTTCTTCTTGAAAACTACAAGCCTGACCTCTCTTAGATTTGTTAATTTCACGATGATATCTTTAATTCTCTACTTTTGGTGAATATTTTTATCATTTTTGCTAAAAAGTGATATTTTTTTTACTTATTGTTGAAAACCGCAAGTCCAATTGCTTTGATATTACACATATAGGTACTACATGTGGACTTCTTTCAGATTTGTTCATTTTGTGGTGATATGTTTAATTATCTAATTTTGATGAATATTTTTGTCATTTTTGATGAAAAGTGATATTTTTGAATCCTTGTTGAAAACAGCAAGTTCGATTGCTTTAATACTGTACATAGTGTTCATTTTCTAATGATATCTTCAGTTCTTTAATTGAAATGTGCATTGCTAACAGCAGAGCTATCTCAGCCGACAGGCTGCTTGTTAATATTGTATGTTTGTAAACAAATTTAGGAGCACTAAGAGCTGATAAAGTTGAAGCAGTGACTCAAATAAAGAAACAACAAACTCGGATTGAACACCTAGATGCAGTAATGAGTAATGTAACACAGGAGGTTAGTGTGCTCCCTCAGATTACCACAAATTTATTTAAACGTCGTAAACAGATTGAAATGATCTTTCAGTGGTACTTGATTCCCTAGACTCATTGAAATTGTTCCAATAACACTTGACTCTCTAGGCTGGTTAAAATTGTTCCAATAACACACGACTCTCTAGACATGTTGAAATTGTTTCAATAACACTTGACTCTCTAGACTGGTTGAAATTGTTTCTATAACACTTGACTCTCTAGACTGGTTGAAATTGTTCCTATAACACTTGACTCACTAGACTGGTTGAAATTGTTCCAATAACACTTGACTCTCTAGACTGGTTGAAATTGTTCCTATAACACTTGACTCACTAGACTGGTTGAAATTGTTCCAATAACACTTGACTCTCTAGACTGGTTGAAATTGTTCCAATAACACTTGACTCTCTAGACTGGTTGAAATTGTTCCAATAACACTTGACTCTCTAGGCTGGTTGAAATTGTTCCAATAACACTTGACTCTCTAGACTGATTGAAATTGTTCTTATAACT